ATCCCGGGCAGCTATTATGACGTGAACGTCACCGGGCTAACAGCCATCCCTGAGGCGGAGGTGCCGTTCCTGCAGCCCATCACTGTCTTCGTGAGTGGGCAGGCGCTGGTGTTCGACGCCGCTGCACAGCTGGTACCGCCCGAGTTGGCGGGTGGCCAGTCCGGATATAGGTACAGCTATATCCTGCCGCTGGGTAATATGGTCATGCCGGGGTTCAACTTTATTATCGGCGAGAAGTTCATGGAACGCTTCTACACGGTCAGTGCTCACTAGTCACTGAGTATCCTCTGGCATGAGCATTGGTGCTATCCTTGTGCTCTAGGTGTTTGACACAGTCAACGATCGTGTCGGGTTTGGATACACGTGCGTGTGTTTTGTTACATTCGCTCTGACTCTGTCGCTGAATACCCTTGCTTTACAGCACCCACACGTTCAGCTCGGTCTTTTGAAGGCTGATCTGTGCTCCTGGCGTCGTAGATGAGGTTGAGGACTGTTCGGACTGTAGTTTTGAACCACCCAACTAAGTATTTATCGTGTTACGCGATACGTTGTAGCATGGCCACGCTCACTTACTTCTATGTAGCATAGTGCATAGTGTAATTCAAGGACTAAGTATTTATAGTGGACTAGTAAGGTAATTCTGTTCGGTGCTTCTAGCGGAAAAAAAAAATGCAGTGCCGATGTGCCCTCATTTTAAGATGTGAGACTGACCGGGAAGCACAGAGCAGCGTTGCAATTCTGACGACGGCAACCCTCACGTTGAATAATCCAAGCACCGTCCAAATTCTCAATCGTACAACTCCCGTCTATACGCCCGATCATCTGCTTTACAACACACCCGCCAGCCTCTGCAGCACCTCCGCGCGCTGCGCCTCCGTGCTCGCGTCCATCCCGACCACGATTATGCCGTCCTCGCCCTCAGGACTTTCCAGCGTCGCGAGCTGGCTGTCGACCATGTTCGCCTTCATGTAGTGCCCCTGGCGCTTCGCGACGCGGTCGAGCAGCATCTCGCGCTCGCCCTTGATGTACACAAAGTACGTCGGCAGTGCCTCGCGTGCGGGCGGCGCGAGCTCGTGCACGGGCGCGGGGAGGCTCGGGCGCACCACGCCGCGGAGGATGTCGCGGTAGCCCTTGCGCAGCGCCGAGCAGGTCATGAGCACGCCCGCGGTGCGGCGCCCGGGAGCGCGCTCGGGAGCCTCGGCCTCTGCGGGGTAGTGAATCCCGGCGGGGCGCTCGCGCACGTCCGCGTCCGCGTCTGTGTGTGTGCCGGCCTGCTGCACGGCGACGAGGTGCTCCGCGGTGGTGCGCAGGAGCGCGAGCCACGGTTCGCGGTCTGCGTCGGTGAGCGGGGTGCCTGCGGCCATCTTTGCGATGTTAGCGGGCGGGTGGAGCTCGTCGCCCTCGATGTACGGCAGGCGGAGCGTCTCGCCCAGCGCGCTCGCGAGCGTTGTCTTGCCGGTGCCCGCGACGCCCTACACGGGAGAAGGATGAGTGGCATGTCGGGAGGGGGACGGACGTACCATAACTACGATGAGGATGGGGACGGGGGCAGGGTGTTCGGACTCTCCGTCGGGCATGTCGAGTGGGATAGATTAAGTTACAGGGCGAGTGGGAGCTGACATAGCCAGACGGGCGCAGGCTAGGACGGACGGCGGCCCGGGAAGGTCGAGCTCCCACAAAGGCCCCGAGGTCGCAGGGAGGAACAATTGGGTCCGCACCAGACGAAGAAAAATTACATTGGTCTATCTCTACAGTAAAGATAGGATGGTACTGAAAACAATTAGCGACAAGCTCTCCAGCGGTCGAGCTATCGATGCTTCCGCCTGGACATTCGGTATACTACACACGGCCCCGCACTGCAAGGGATATTAAAAAACGCGACATGCAAAAAACGCGAGACATAAACGTAGATGTAGATCAAAGCAGCTCGAACGAAACGAACGGACAGAGGCGGCCAGAAAAGCAACGGCTAGACGGGACGCGAAGGTGGGAGGAAAGCGAGCGACGCGAAGCGGCAAGTCTACCGCAAAGGGAACGACGATGGTGGGTAAAAACGCAGATGAGTCCCAGATGAAGCATGAGACGAGTATGACCATAAGTGACACAGTGCAGGACGAATGCAAATGGGTGCAGAACGTAGCTGAGAGCAGGGCAGGGACGCCGAGTATGCGGAAAATGCAGGGGGGTATATACACTTGGGCCGGGACACTGATTTTTGTTGTCGTTGGTGCTCTTGTTATTGTGTAATGATATGTACGTGTGCTTGGCGAAGCTGAACCGAGACGAGAGAAAAGGGGAACCACCAAAACAGCCACTTGCATATGTAAACCAGTTTACGATCGTGGGAGCGGACAGCGTTATGCTGTTCACTTAGCAGCCTTACCGCGCGCTGCCACGCGGCTTCGGCGCACCTGTGCGCACCCGCGTTGAAAAATCAATCGCATCGTACGCCGGCGGCGGCATCTCATAAATGCTTTCCGCCTCCCCTGGTGACATGTGTGCATACGATGCGCGCACACGTCCCGCGTCGACGTGCATCCCACTTGCGTCTGCGCCCTGCGTTGTGGGCGGCAGCGGCAACGGATGAGGTACAGGCGGCAGATGCGTTATGAGCTGTGAATGTGATGGGGGCTGTTGCGAATATGGGTGCGGATGCGAGGAGATCGACATCGAGCTAAACGAGTTCGCGAGGTCTGTGGAGCTCAGCTCCGTGCTCTGGGTCCGGGCGTAGGAGGCCGTCTGGCTAGTGCTGGAGCCATCGGAGCGCTCATACTCCGTGGCGAGCTTGGGCGGCAAGGGTAGCGGTGGCGCGTGGCGAGGCGGCGGTGGTGCAGGCGGAATCGTCCGCAGGGAACGGCGGGAGATCATACGCAATTGCGTCGCGCCCGCGTTCGGATCCGAGCCTGTGCTTGGGGAAGCTGTGAATGACGCCGACGTTGACGTGGAAGGGTATGCGGAGGAAATCGCAGGCGGGCTCGATGCGACGCGGGAGAGCTCCGTCATCGGAGGCTGGGGATACGTCCGCGAATCCTGGGGAACCGGTGGCTTGGGTAACTGCCTTGGTCGGCGAATCGTGGTCGCGGCGGAGGAAGACGTAGATGGACCAGATTCACGATCGTGGACAACGGCATGTGAAGAAGACGACGTGGGTCTGGATGAATATGTAGGAAGCGAACTGTACGCGTCAGGATTGTGCATCGCAACGCTGGAGAAATAATCGGGGCTTGGTTCAGGGTTTGCAAGTTGCAAGTGGACAGGTTGTTGCTGCTGCACTGACTGAGGCGGTAACGGTGGGACCGGGGGTATGTCATCATGCCTGCCCGGGCTGGCTCCCCGCAGCTGGACGCTCTGATGCGTGAGCGAAAATGACGGCGGCCGTGTTGCAGGTGTCATGGCAGGCGTGGTTGGCGTAACAGGCGTCATCGCCTGGTCGCTCGTTCCCGAGTTACTCGCGCTCCCCGATGACCACGACAAATGCCGATCCCATAGCGAGGAGCTGGTTCTTCTTGACGGAGGGCTGAGCGACTCTATATCTCCTGATCCACCGTCTTGACCGTGTTGCTCGTTTTCACTTCTGGTATCGCTATGTTCGTCAGCAAGGAATGGCCTAGCATGGATGATTGCGAGCCACTTCTGTACAGAACGGGAAGCTGATCCAGGCAGAGTTGCGCCAGCAGGTCTGTCGAACCACTCTTGAGTATGCGTGGTCAGTAATAAGGAGGTAGCAACGAGATAATCCAATAACAGAAACGGAACACCGGCGTGATTTTGCTGGCTGCGAACGAGATCGGGTGCTATGAGAGTTTCAAAGATCCTCAAACACGGTGGCGCGGATAAGACCGCACCGTCTAGAACAGCGATTGGGCCCTTCACACCGCTGCTGGTGCACTGTTGATCAACGTCAGCCTCGTTATCACAAAACGACAATGAACGAGCCTATGGGGAGGAACAAGGCGCGATAATAACGGAGGTGATGCGACTTGTTGCGAAGAAACGCGAACCCGCACCCAGACAGCTAGAATCGGAGTTAGGCGACCGGAATGAACTGATGCGATGGCTCGAAAGCACGAGTGGCGAGGCAGATCCGGCGTCTCCTTCCCCCGGAGACATGCAGACATGAGATCGGAGGACACAGCGGGGAAAGGTGTGGATTCTGGTCTTGTGCAAGGACGGAAAAACTTACGACATAAGAATTGCCCGGGATGAGTTTCCATTTGAGACTGTGGGGAAAGTGGGGAACGTTGAACTTGCGGCTACTGGCGATCAAGAGAGTGTCAGAGGAGATCGAAGCAAATGGAGTGGTCCTGCTCACGCGAGATTGCCCAGTGCGCCCTGTTTGAGAAAGTCCTCTGCCTCTCGCCAACTTCCGCTACCGAGCTGGATACTCTTGCCGGACTTGCCCTTGCCTGAGGTGGTGGTGCTGGGTGGCCATCGGACGGCGGCAGCTTTGCCGGCTTCGCATAGACGACTGTCGAGGCGGTATATATTGGTAAGATCCTGGACGGTCTCTATGATGTAGAGAGGTTCTTTGGAGACGGTGTCGCGGATGACGGTGTCGAGAAAGGAAGGGCCGCTGAGCTTTAAGACCAGAATGGGGCTCGAATTTGTGGATGCGCGGGGAGAGCTGACGCTGCGAGCGCGCGATGGCGGAAGCATGTCCCTGTCCTGGGGAGCGGGGCAGCTGAAGTCGAACAGGCGTTGGACGGGGGCTGAGAAGGAAAAGGAGCCGGGCCTGATGGAGATGGGACTGGTAGGGGATGGGAGGGAGTCGGGAGGAAGAGGAGGAGGAGGAAGAGGAAGAGGCCCGAGGGGAAAGGGCGTGATGTCGCCCTTTGCCATGGAGGAAACAAATGGATGCAGAGGGCGCTCGGCGCTCACGTACTGGGACCCGATCCAGCGCTTATGTCATCCTTATGAGGCCGGCCGGCGCACTGTGCAAATACCAAATACCGGCTACAGGTCCCTTAATCACCTCCGCAAATAGAATATAATATCCCCGGCCGGCTTCCGGCATTCCCGGACGCACGTGATCCGCCTCTGCCCCGACCCCGACCCCCGACGCGGCTTGTCACCAACTTCCATTCGCCACTCCCGCCGCCATCCCTGTTTGACCGTCTCATACGCGCCGCTCTATGTCTACCGAAGCAACGTCTACCGGCGCGTACGTCTCCCGCATTTGTTTTACCGCTCCCGTACAACTAAGATCCACCCGCAGGCCCAACGCGGACACCCACCCCACTGGGCCCACCCACGCCCCCGTCGACAAGGGCAAGGCCAAGTTCGTCAAGCAGGTCGCCATGGACGACGACGATGACGAGGAAGAAGAAGACGACGACGAGGAGGATGAGGACGACGACATGGAAGAGGCACGCGTCTTTTCTTTCTCCACGAGCGCGTCCTGACGCGTCCCAACAGGACGAACTCCATGAAATCGACCCTTCTGCTATCATAGGTACGCGTCGCACTCGCGGTGTACGCGTCGACTATACCTCCGCTGCCGCTCTTGAGAAGGCCGGCCTGAAGCCTGAGGCTGCCGATGACGATGAGGGTGAAGAGTCTTTCGTGGCCAAAGACGACGAGATGCATGACGACTAGCGCCCCACTCTGCCCAAAAGGCGCGGCTCGTGTGTATCACACGCTTTCACTACGTCAATTCTTGGACGGCACCGTGGCCGCTGATGTGTGTTGGAACTTTGCAGAGTGTATTCTTGTTCTGCGTCGCCTATTACTTCGCTTCGGTATATGTTCAATGTGCAAGTAGGGTTGTCCGCTGCCACCTTGTGCGCGTTATTCTATTACTTTCAGATGACTCTAATGTTCGTTGTTCTGACATTCGGCCGCCCGAGACCGCGCCTGCCGTATTCTCTGCAAACGCCCGGATCATCAGCGCGCACATGGTAAATATGTTACTGCAGTCCCACGCAGCCCTTTCGTCATTCGGCGTCGTCTCCCTACCCTTGCCCTCAGGCCGTGACGTCCGGGACCATACCGCATATATTCTGACCGTCATGCGGCCGCTGCCTTGGCCGACGCGACTGAGGACGCTTGTGCGATATGCTAGTGGTGGCTCTTTCTAACACGACGAGACTGAGCCATTCCCTTTCGAGTCTCGAGCGCGCGCTGCGCCCTTGGCAAGCCACGCCAGCCTCACACGCTCACTCCATTGTTCTAGCCGCATTTCCTGAAGCCATGACTCATACTCCCCATCTTCGGTTTATTATCCACTCGTGTCATCAATTGCAACACCGTGCAGCATCTAGGTGCAGAATGGAGCACTTCGGCGCATCCGTGTACGGGTATATTGTGTGACTGAGCCTGTAGCCATGTGAGTGCAGAATTCCCGGTCCCGGTGCAGAGGGTGCTGGACGTTGCGCGCATACGCGACTGCAGATGCTGACAGGGAATTCTTCGCGTGGCATGTACGCGTACACGAATGTCTGAATTCAAGCTGCGCCGTGACTATATGCGGCGCATATGGACGTCTTCCGGCGTTCAAGCAGGTCTGGGCGCGCGCGCTGGCCTGGCCGGCGCGATACGTCCCCGCCACCGTCTTCAGCGTCAGTGACTCCGAGCGTTGTATCTGGCAGCTGCTTACACCCGCGAGGGCAGACCAGGGGAACTGCGTTCTCACCTCGGTCGGCGATCATTGCGCAATGTGCTCTGCGATCACACTGGGCGACTGGGCGCGGACTCCGGGCTGCACCTATTGGACTATCAGCGCTTCGGCCTGTTCGTCGTCAGGGTTGCACTGCCTGAATCAGCCTCAACCTTCGAGTCTTCGACAGGGCATTCTGGGGACCTCGGGGCTCAGGCACGGATTGGCAATCGGTGCTTCAGACCCTGAGGTCAATCACGACCACATGCATTCTTATCTGGCCGGGTCCTGTTACTATCGCCGACCGCCGTCGTGGGCCTCAGTAACATGGGAGACCACTCAGTCGCCATTTGCAAGCAGCCGAAGGACCATTTTGATGCATTTGACGACGGGACCATAGGCCACCGTGTCACCGTGATGTGATACACTCGATGGCCATTGGCCATTCGCCAGGGACGACATCAAGTTTGTCGAGTGCTGCAAAAGGTTATCAACTGTGTTATCCATTTCTGTGTAGTAGGGTGGTCCTGTTCCGTCCACACTGCTGTATCCAGTTCGATCCATGGCATACGCTTCGAATGACTACGCTAAGCGGAATGGGTACGCATTCATTTGATCTCCAGCTGATTGTAACCATAACCCAACTATGACTCTATCCAACTACAGTACATACCAACGTCGTTGAGTCTTCGATGACTTGCACTTGTCATATATGCTTTCAATTGTACTTGACAAGACGTCACTGGCCAGGCCAGTCATGCTGTGAGACCGTTGATTGTAAATCCAGGAAGTCCGTCAAGCCGAGGCAGATGTTCAGACAGATTCACCCTCAAGAAAACATGCATTCTAGTATACTCAGGCCCAGATACCACAGCGACTATCTACAGCGCCGTACACGAACCCCCTCCACAGTACACCCACGCGCGCTCACCTCCTACCACATACACCATTCATCAACCCCGCAGGGGAGAACAGGGTAGCAAGCTAGAGGGAGACTGCAACGAGAGACGCACCATAAAGCAGAGGACATATACGTACTGAAAGAACGCGAAGGGAATTTAGCTAGAGATTAGCGAGAACGATGATCGAGAGGTGAAAGTTAAAAAAAGTTTTGGGATAAGATGGAAAATAGATCATAGAGTAGCTGGTCCGATAAATAGACGAGAGACCCATTAAGAACAAGATATGCAAAAAAAAACCCAACTGTTTGCGATGAGCGCACAACGCGATCACATACGTTGAAGGTAGCCAACGCTGATTCTAGAACACGCCGACTTCTTGAGCCAGCCGTGTATCCAGCGAGGCGTCCAGGTCCCAGCCGCCAAGCTCTACGTCGAGAGCCGACGAAAAGTCCATCGCCTCCACGTTCATGTCGGCCTCAGCGCCCCTGTTGGGCTGGACACTAGGAAACATGTCCAGCAATTTCTGCATATCCACTTGGCCCTCCCAGTCTACAGCTCTCGTCAGCGGCGTCGCGGCCCCGGTGGTCGATGCCGACGGAGTTGGAGGTAAAGCGTCCGAGATTTCGGGTCCCGACGACGAGTGGGACTGGGACTTGGGGGCATAATCAGCGGGGAGAGGCGTCGATGGCAGAACTGGAGAGGGCGCGAGGATCT